TAGACAAATATTTACTTAAATGGGTGAACGCGGTGGTTAACACCAAAATAGGAATTCAGTGATGACGTGAAATGGTTATCCACAATGCATACATATTCATCGTGTTTTACTATTGAATCCTGATTGTCCACTGGCGGTAGTTGTCTTTGGGGGTAATTCTTCAGGGGATATTTTATCGGGGGGTAATTATCCTTCGGGTGGTATTGTCCTCGGGAGGGGGGATAATTCTCCGGGAGCTAATTTTCCGGATGGAAGGGGGGGGGGGGGTTGTACTTGGGTGTAGTTTTCCGGGGGTGATTGCCCAGGGGTCAATTGTCCTAGAACCATTTTGGACGGTGCGAGAAAAGGTCTCACAGAGACCTGGGAACGTGATGACTAAAAATTGAGCCTTACTCAAGCTGCTGGTCGTACGACACAATGTCATGCTCATGTGGAAGTTGCCCCAAAGTATATTCTAACCGTATCATGAAGATACGTATTCCTTACTGCGGTCGGGGGGCATGTGCACCCTGTGCCCCCCCCCCCCCCCCTGGATCCGTCCCTGAGAGGACCTATGAAACTGTGTTATTCATTATATATGTTGTGTAGTGCCTAAGGAAGAAGGCACTTGCAAACATGGAAATTAATGAAATATTTGTACACGACAAACGAGAGAGTTGTCCGTGTGTACGTCACATCCGAAAAAATGTTCATAGAGTTGGTGATCTCAGATTTCAACGTCTCTTATTATTGGTCTAATTTACTTCAAATTGTCGACATTTTGTTTCGCTACTTCATAAAAATAAACCGATAACAAAGATTGGGTTGCCTTTTAATCTCGTTTATACTTCATTCACCCCGCCAAACTTCTTCAATTTAATGTTCGGTCTGTCGGTGTGCTTTCGTTCCGGTCAGTGTAAGTATCTCTGTTACCACCCCTTCACCCTCCCCTTACCTCCCTCCCCCTTCCACCTCTCTCTCTCTCTCTCTCTCTCTTTCTCTCTCTCTTTCTCTCTCTCTTTGTTTCTCTTTACCGATTTTTACTTCAAACTAGCAACCTAGGTCGTTTTGGGCATTAAATGAGAATGCGATCAATCAAACATGTTCGTTGAGAACATTTCTAATCATACATTTTCCCAATATAATTATCGCAAACATATTTCTATACAAACCCTGTATGAAAACAAGTCTATTCTGTTTTCAAAAAAACTTTAAACATGAAAGTTTATGAAAGTGTATGTACAGAGAGAGCTGGAAAAAAGCTCATCAGACTCGTCACAGTTTTGACAATTTGTGTTTCACTGATGACAACTTCGAAAATGCATAGTTTTCCTATTCTTGATCGGATATTGCTCAACGTTTCACCTATCTGTTTATCTAATTTGTCTGCTTATATTTAAACCAAGATAACTTTTATTTTAAAAAAAAGGGTTTATGTAGCACATACACATTGCTTTACATTGTAAGGTTTTAGAATCATCAAAATAATAAGAAATTGGCCCGGTCTTGCTAAAAATCACCGGCGTACTGATGAATGGCTTAGTGGGGGGGGGGGGGGAGGGGTTGGGGGAGGGAGTTAAATCCCAAAATACATTTCAAACGTGTTTTATTTCTAATTCAAAACCAGTGATTTACGAATGTTGCTCAAATAACATGATTTTGTTTCCCTCACTTTGTGCTCATTATGCTAGAGGCGGAACACTGTGCCCCCCCCCCCCCCCCACATTTTTTAGGTTCTCCCAAAAACCTTTTTTTACGTAGGACAAGTGCCCCTCTTCTTTTTTAATAACTGACATTTTCCTTTCTTTTCATCTCCGGTGAGTACACGTCTTTTCAGGTGCGAAAAAAATTCCCTTTTCACCTCTGATATGTTTGTCCTTTATTACTTTGACTCGAGCCCCTTTTCATTTTCAATGAGTGTACTTTTTCCTTCGTAGTAAGAACCCCCTTCCTTTTCTCTTAAATGCCATTTTTCACCTCTGATAAGTGCCTCTTTAACTATGACACGTTCCCCTTTTCCTTTCTAATCAGTACCTATATATTCTTCGAATAAGTGCCCTTTTCCTTTTTTTTTTTTTACATGAGCCTCTCCCCCTTTCCAAAATGCCCCTTCTAACATTTGATAAATGCCCCTATTAAAATCTGCATTTTTCCTTCAACAGATTCCCCATTTCCATTCTTACAAGTGCCTTTTTCAATCTCTGTTGATTGTCCCTTCGGATAAGTGCCTACTTTTCCTTTCTCCATAACATGCACCCCTAAAGCGACTTAGAGCCCCCTTTTCTTTAACTTACCCTAGAGCTTGCTCGCTACGCTCGCTCGCAATTATGGATGTTATAATTATGTTTCTTACAAAAGAATTTGTCAGGCTTTCTTATAAAAAGGGTTTTGTTTCTTCTTCTTGTTAAGATGTAACGTTTCGCACTGGAACCTCACAAATCTTTAAATTAGAAAATAAATGAAAATGAAGATTGGTTGTTGTTGTTATTATACTTTATTTCACACAAAACGACACAACAGTCTTTGAAATTTCGTCAATACAATGTTAAATAAATCAACGACAAATTAATTATCATAGTTCCTATTAGTATATTACAGAGACCATCAAGATATCGATTATTGAGTATACATTTTTCACAACAGTCTTTGAAATTTCGTCAATACAATGTAAAATAAATCACCGACAAACTAATTACCATAATTCCCATATTACGGAAATCTTCTAGATGTCGATTATTGAGTATACAATTTTCACACAATTATATAGATATACATACATTGCTTTGTTTGACTTTGAGGTTTCAAGTTGCTGTGCTGTTTTTTACAATACCAGGCATACTTAACAATTCTGTGATCAAATATTGTTTATTTTGATTGAATATATTCGTTTGGTTTCGTAATACAGGTCGTTTCCTATCTAGATCTTGAACACTGAGGATACCTTTCAAAACCAATTTGATGTTTCATTAGACCAGAAGAAAACAATCGGCAATCGATAAACAGAAATGGTGTGTTTCAACAATTCCAGTAAATGCGTGTATCAAGATGATATGGAGGATAACAAAGGTGTATGCATATTTCATGTTTTTCAGTTTTCAAAATGGTTGTAAAGTAATAACATAAATATATATATATACAAACGTACATTACTAAACTTGACTGTTCGTCAACAAGAGAATCAAGGTTCATATATTGATTTCTAGGTGCCTTTATGATTTTTTTAAAAATCACCAGATGATCGTAGAAGGGAGAAACAAATCCTAGACAACAAGATTTGGGTACAAGAATGCTGCAATCGTTGATAATTTCATACTATACCAAGACATAGAAACACATGGATGGAATATGATTAAAACATTGTAACAATAAATCAATGCAAAATGAGTGGCCTAGAGGTGAACTAACATTAACGTTTATGTTTAAATGTTAGGGTTCGTTGCTCGAAAAGACACACTTCCTCTACCCCTCCCCTATAAACTATCTTTCTCTCCATTATTAGGAAATGATCGTAGGCAGGGCATTTATATATCTAAGTACCATATCATAAATTCCTTTCACCATTTTGTTTCTTCATTTTTTGTCTCGACAACACTCACTCATCAAAGCCATGAATCCTTCACACAAATACATGTATATTCATACCACAGCTTCATACCATATATACATTCCTTAGAACACACACCCACCCAAGTCGACATATGCATCTCCCCACACATACTTTTGATGTATATATACTACTGCTACAAACAATATATCTACAAGTTATTTCTTTAGAACACACACCTACCCATGTCCTCACATACATCCCCTTCACAAATATATTTATATATATACTACTGCTACAAGAAATATATACACGTTATTTCTTTAAAACAAACACATACAAATGAAGATACATTAAACTACTGCGAGAAAAAATATCTACAAGTTATTTCTGTAGAACACACACCTACCCATGTCCTCACATACATCCCCTTCACAAATGAATAAACATTATGCCACAGCTACATACTATGTATACGTGTTATTTCCATAGAACACACATCCACCCAATCCTACGTATGCATCCCCAACACAAATATATTTACATATATAATACTGCTACAAGAAATATATACACGTTGTATCCTTAAAACAAACAACCAACCAAGAGTGCGAGAAAATTTAGAAAATAATGTACATACATAAACGCTCCATAATAATATTGATAGTAGTAACATTTATATATCGCTTAAATAATAATGTTTCTAATCGTGTACTAGTATTGCCACGGCATAAGCCGAGCCGCCCTGATAAGGCTCTCTGACATTCGAGGAATTTATATCTGCAATGTATCCATTAACATCACCTGGGTGGAGAGTGTCAACATGTAAATTAATATCTTGACAAAGGATATTAGTGCCGCAGAGGGACTTTTTCGCAAACCATGTGATCCACATTTCAGTGATATACCCACTAGACCGCGACACCTCGATTGATATCAACGCATCTGAGGAGAATGAGGACCATACATGCTACAGAAGATGCTACAAGAAAATTGCGAGGCCAATGTCGTGCTGAGTAACTGCACATTATTCTTGCGTTATATACCTCAAGCCAGGAAATCTTGTAAATTTTTATTGTGGTATTCCTAGCCAAACCAGTGTTAGCAAATTATGACTTACTGCAACAAAATAAGCAAAGGGCTGACAATATTTATTTAACCCTTTGGTTCCTGTATTACCCTCTCTGCACGGTTGCTCATCATCCACATGTGCACTTTCGCACATAATAATAGATACCAAAAACCAAAATATTGCTTTCGGGCAAAATAATGCCTTTGCAATATTACCTATCTCCGGTCTTGATTAGATCCATGCCAGTCATTTTACCACCGGTATAGATCAAATTTGCAAAGGAAGAGTTCAATATTCTCGAAGTATTTAGTATATTATATCAAATTATAAAAAGATTGAAAAGGGTATTAATTGTGTGGAATTATAAAGTGTTAACTTCATCATCATCATCATTATACTAATCACTTAATTTAGTTTCTCAAGAGCAGCAGCAAGCGATAGCACATCAACAAAGGGGACCTTAAGATCGTCTTTCATAGACTGGTAGAAAGCTTGTGGGACTGTGATCAGTAGTTTCTTTAGTTGCAGTAATTGGGTTCCATTGAGATTTTCCAAAGATTTGTTACGTGTTGCTACGTTGTTAGCTAAAAGCCAATCCTGGACCTTCTTGGAATCCCATCCGGGTACTTGGGATTCCACTGGAGGGGGTTTCAGTTCTTGCTCTAGGGACGGGGGACCTTTCGAGTAAAATAGAGCAAAAGTAAAGAAACGAAACTCATTTTTAAATAAATATATATAACGAAATATCACAAAATATGGCCTTAACCACCGACAGAATTATCATTGGCCATGACATTATTCGCGATGACATCATTCGCGTATGAGAAGTCTGCAAAGCTGATAAAGTTTACTTGAATTCATACGACTTGCTTTTTTCCAGCTATGTTAAATTTTACTTGCTGTCACTGGAATACATTTCTATATGAAAATGTTTTAATTGTAAGTATACATATATAATTTTAACGATGCTAATGCTTCTTCGTATTATGCCATATACCATATAATATCTTAATACTAATATTGTAATAAAGAAGCATGCAAGAGTATGAAGTAAACTAGAAGGTGAGTGATTTATTGAAAAAATGATATATACAAATCCCACAGAGTAGCCACTTATCATTAATTATATATTAGGGTTTGCGGGAAAAAAATACTTTCACACTCTCTTTCTCTCTCACTCTCTTCTCTCTCTCTAGCTTTCTCCATAATTTCTCCTCTCTCTCACTCTCTCTCTCTCTTTCTCTTATCTCTCTTTATCGATATCTACATCTCTCTATGCACATATATATATATATATATATATCAATATCAATATCTCTCTACCTCACTCTTTACAGTGTAAGTGACATACCGGGAGCAGAGTTCACGTTCTGGACCGTTTCTTTCTGCACTGCGAATTCTTTCTGCACTGCGAATTCTTTTTCGATGATGGTGGAGAGTACCTCGGAGACAAGCTCGGCTTGCTGAACGATGTAGTAGATCTTCCCTGCCGTGATTCCGCCTAGCCAACCAGAGGCTTTGAAGTCATTACTCACCTTCACAGGGATGATCTTCTTCTTGCATTCGTAAGCATAAGACGCTTCTGAAAACATGACATATAAGCATCAAATTGAAAATTCGATTATAATGAAAATGTCGGGTTGTCGTTAAAAAATAAAGGTAAATATTAAAAAAGCTCTCTATTTTTTTTCAATGTCAGGTGTAAAATGTGAAAGGAAAAAGTTTTTTCAGGTGATTCTACATTCACAATTAGGCAACAAATGGCTTTTTTTTAAATATGGACCCAGCTTTCATGCCACATGTGTAGTCCCATATATTCAGTTATGTGTGCCGCGCATGTGACTGTGCGTATCCTCGAGTCACACTCTTATCATTTATCTTATCATTTTGATGATTTAAAATCCCAACACTTTACACCTAATCGAACTTTCGATCTTTTACTCAGTCTCATTTATATACAAGGACATCGCATAACCAGAACTCAATGGCAGGTTATAGGTTAAAAAAGGCACAGTAGTGGTCTCTGATAGAGAATTCGACACCATTCAGGTGTTTACCTAACAGGTGTTGTCAATCACTAGGATTAGCCTTCAGTTTTATGACCAACAGGCCTTATGTAATGCTTTGCATAATGCTTTGCATTCCCCCATATGGTAAAGTGAATATGTTTAGTGTTCCTCACCCGAAGACTCTCCAAGAGACTAGGGAATTTTTCTTCATTTAACCACGTGTATGTTCAGTGCAGACTTGTACACCCAATAATAGTGTTTCCCTCAAGTCTGGTGTCATCGAATTATGAACTTCTGCACATGGAAACTGACGACTGACATTGATCAGAAGAAGAGGTAAATCTGTTCTCACCTGTACGGCAGTCTTGACTATCTTGGTAACCACGTGTGATACAAGCTATGATCATATCAGCATTCTCTACGGCTTCTGCCATTGCACCGATTTTATCACCCTCTGAAATAAGAATATAGATGCACAAGGAGAGAAAAGAGAAGAAAATGAGGAGCAAGAGAGGAGAAGAAGAAGAAAAAGAAGAAAAGAAGATAAAGAAGAAGAAAGAAAAAGAAGGAACGAAGAAGGAAGAAGATGAATCATGTATAATCAAGCTCCAGCTTTAGGGAGGAAATCTGAATTATATGCAATCACCTGCTCGAGCCACCTTCGTAATTCCAAAGCTTGTATTATTTATTGCTACTTTGAATGAAAGACGAAAACTACACATGCATTTATATAATAACACTGCCAAATTCACATCATATTCAAAAGTTGTCATTCTTCCAAAGAGAAGTGTCTGCAAATAAACTTACTCATGTGGTCTTCATCCATCCACACGTTGTAGCCTCTTTTGCGCAGCTGTTCTTTGAACTCTCGCATCACAGGTTTGGACGGGTGTTCCCATTTGTAGCTGAGCATGATGTGTCCCCTGGACTTCGCACTGTCCGACGTCGCCTTCTGCGGTGACTCGATATCTGTTTTCCTGTGCATCAGGCCTTCGGGAAGTTTGGATTCGTAGATCTCAAAAAGTGCGCCCATACAAGCATTGCGGAGTTTTTCGTTTTTACTCTGGGAATTTTCCGTCAGATCTTGTTTGGGGATAAAAGAAAATATGATATAGTCTGCTTATAGCCAGAAGATTACACACAAAAGTCCCTTCTATCTCTGAACACAAGACATGTTTCCTCTTTGACAATGAATACCAATTAAAAAAATTGCTTCATGTGAGCCCGGTACGTCGGTGCACAACGTGTTGTGTTGTTGATGCCCATGATGGGAATATTCAATCTTAAAACCTGTCCTCATTAACTGATTTATTGTGTTTATTCATCATAGCAAAATCTCAAAATACGACTGTTACCCCTACCTTCCCCTACCTTATTCTTGTTATACATATCGTGGTGGTTACCCACAATTTTTTCGGAGGGCAGGGCTCCCCTTTGATTTCTTTCACCTATGATTTAAACTTAAGAACAAACTAAATCCATCATAGCTTTTCAATTTCTGTTATCGTTATGAGGGCACCTTGTGCGCGAATGGTAACAATCTAACTAAAACAACATACTTTGGCGTAAATATAGTGCGCGCCCTAATGTACATGATGATGAAAAAATGTGAAGAATGTTTACTTACTGTAGATAATACCCTGTTCTTTCCGCAGTTTCACTTTATTTTCCTTGATAAATGCCAGACTCCAGATCCCACTGGCCGCAAAAGTCTTCTCCTCCACGGAACAATCTCGTTTGAGCAATTGAGCGAGGATAGGAATGCCTCCCTGTTCTACTATGAGCCGTTTGTTGTTGTCATTGATTGCAAGGTCATCTACAGCTTGAACTAACTCCTCCGCACTATCATAAATCTCGCTCACAATGTTCTTGTCGGATGTATGTGGTCTTGTATATGTTATTTTATGTTCAGGATTGGAGAGACATCCCTTCAACTGCGAAAGTAGTGTTACGATACAGATGTAGTTGGTGGAAAGCTTGTCTGCCTCTTCTTTCTTCACCAGCTTTGACAATATCATGAATGCTTTTGTCTGAGTCAAGCTATCTTTCGACTCGCTAAACTTCTGGAAGGCAGGCACGGCCCGGTGGTGCTTAGGAGCCAGATACGGCACTTTTCTGCAGACATTGTCAAACATGTTTATTGCATCAAACATCATGTCATCTACCCATTTGTTCATTGCCTTATCATCCCTCACGAGGTGTAAAAACCAATCCACAATCAAAGACAGGCACCCATCTTTGTCCATTTGTGAACAAAAGTAATCAGACTTGTTCGTAAAGTTCCAGGCGGAACAAAGCAGATCGATATAAAATGTAAACATTTGTGTGGTCTCATGTGATAGGTCTTTTTGTTGATCAGCGTCTTCAATCTTCTGTAACGTATCTCTTTTTTTCCACGTATACGTAAACATTTTGCAGTAGTCTGTGTCAATGCCCAAGCCATCCCCTACAGCGTTCCGATCAATTTTCCTGTTACGAGAAACTGTGACGATATCGTTTATACTTTCAAGACACGAGGTACATGGGAAACCCTCACAATCCTGAATGTGCTTAATACTGGCTTTGACAAGAGATAGACATCTGTTGACCTCGTCACTGAACTCTTCGATCCGTTTTGCTTTAGCAGCTGCATAGTCAACGGGAAGTATATGTGAAATGTCAGTCAAATTCCTCGAAGCATCGTAAGTACTTGCAGAAGATGCCATGTTTATGACGAACCATCAGACACTGTCAAATAAACAATGCAGTTTATCACAATATTTATATGATTGGTTAAACATGGTGGTATATATCGAAATAGGAATTCAAGGATGACGTGAAATGGATATCCACAATACAAACATATTCCGCGTTAGGCATATTTACATCAGCATATTTTCATTTTCACTTTCATTCATAATCTTCATTATCATTAACATCATTACCTTCATCACCATCATCAACAGCATCACTATCACCATTTTTTCCTTTCGTCTTACCTCCCCCCCCCCCCATCCTTTCCCCGTGCTATCACGCTATCAAGCCCTTCTTCTTTTTCCACTTTATTTGTAAATAATTTGTTGTATTGAGTTATCAGTTACAATTTTGTTTCATTGTCATCATTTAAAGGTATTACAAAGTTTTGGTATGCGGTCATAAATTTGGTTCAAATGAACATATTGGAAACATGCGATCCTACAATATTCAGTGATCGTTGTCGCGGTTGAAATCGAGTCTAAAGTGATGAAATTGTAAACTCTTTTCGTTGTATAGCTCCCTCTCAAAGTCAATATATTAATTTAGCTATAAAACAATGTTTCTTGACTAAACTCGACCAATTGGCTGTACCCATTTGGAAATTATATATCGCAACTACATATTCTGAGATTTTCATAGTCGCAGCTACCATTGTATGGCCGTAGGCGCTGTTTTAAAACTATCGAAATTTAGCGGGAGCACCGGTAAATTTTATATTCAAGTTTTTCTCAAAAGCAGAAGTGTTTTAGGGGCTACATTTTCTAGTGCTAATATAATACTACTACAGGGGCATACAAATATTTCAAAATTGTGAAAAAATCACTATTTAGCAAATTTTAAAGAAATTCCCAAACTTTGTATGACCTTTAATATAATCATTTTGTAATCACGCTAACAAAAAAAGAGATATTTGGTGTGTACGCGTGCGACCTGGGGTCTGTGACGTAAAGAAGTATGCATATTCATGTCGCCACTAAATGGGTTGCCAACACATGCTACCATTTCCAGACAGAAAATAAACTACTTTAAATGACGATTTTTTTTTTTTTTTTTTTTTTTTTTTTTATTTTTTATTGTTTGTTTTTTTTTATTTATTTATTTATTTGTTTTTTTTTTTATTTTTGTTGGGGGGAGGGAGGGACACTCCAATATATATCAACTGCCATTACATATTAGTACTTTTTCACAAATCAATCTCAATTCCAAATCTTCTTTTGCATAGGTTGACATGTAATTTGTTTGGGTGTTAAGGGTATGTCAGGCTTTGGTTTCCAGTCACCAATTGATTATGTTTTGATTTTTTCAATTCGAGTTTTATTTATGTTATACATGTATTTATTTATTATCTAATAATTATTGTTTTAAGATCAATGATAATTGCCCCATAATGTTAACAAAAAAATTCATGAAATTCGAATGAATCAGGAAGAAAAAAATCGAAGCGTAATGTATGCCTAGCCTAATACTTCTTAGTCATTTTTGTCCCCAGCCATTGGGATTGTGCGTGACGGGGATCGGATTTCTGCGGTGTGTGTGTTTGTGTGTATGGCTGTGCGTGTGTGTGTGTGCGTGTGTGTGTGTGCGTGTGTTCTTGTGTACGTGTGGGGTGGTGTTCTGTTTGGGATCATATTGCTCCGATTGTCTCATTTTCGCTCGCGTGAACATTGCCAGCACAAACCACTGATCTCTACCTCCTGTACGGATCATCGCCCATTCCCACTCATTATACGTTACGAACTATAGGCTGTATTGTCTGACCGTTCATGAATATTCATGTTTTTGCTTACCTCGGCTAAATGTTTGCTTGTACTAAATTGAAGAATTACGGTGGGGGGTTGGATGAAATGGACATAATGAAATAGGCAGAAGTGATCTATGATAATTCATGCTTTTTATGTTTCGTGTGCTCGACCTATAATCTTCAAATCGCTTGGCAAACTGAGTCCAAAGTTAGACTTGTTTCACATGTGTATTTTAGGCAATGACGAGCTTGCAACCTATTTTGAAAAATTACGGTGGGTGAACTTTCAAAAGTCAATGAGACATGAGGGCTCCAATAAGAGAGCTAGTGATAACGTACGTCGGGGTGGATGTGCTTTTCGTTTTAACAAAAAATGAATTGTTAACGATTTTTTTTGTAAACGTCCATAGGCTAACATGTTAGGCTGCTGACTCTGACCCTGCTCTGACGATAGGGGGCGTTGTGAAATGAGACTAAACGGAGCAATATGTGAGTAGTATTAAGGGAAGGGGTTATAATTTGTTTCATATTAAAACTGATTTCATTCCGAAAAATCGATCGTAGTTTGTGAATCGTACATATATGGAAACGTTTCCTTGTATTTGTCTCATAAAAGAAGTTAACCAAAAATTGACTCCCACACGGTGTTGAGTGCTCCGGGGTCACAGGCCACTGGCTTAATCGGGCAGGTAGTTCCATTATGTGAATGGGTAAATTAACTATTAGAAAATGAGGGGACACATTACATTGTATAATAGGGACACACATTGTATTTATTGTGCAGAACATACTCTTTTATTGACTTACTTATTGCATGAAACTATAAAACCAAAATGCATTGTGTATTCTAACAATTGGAGTACAAAGAATAATAACAGGTGAATGAAATGCATAAACACCACAAAAACCTGGGGAGGAAGCATTCATACATTTGAATACATATAGTTGATAAACGACTCCGATGAAACTATTAAACCAAAATGAAATTTTCGTTCTGGCAATTGGAGTACAAAGAATGATAGCAGGTGAATGAAATGCTTCAACAGCAACACAAACACCTGGGAAGCTAGGAAGCATCCATACATTTAAATAATTTAGTTGATAAACGACTCCGCACGTGGACGTTTGTTGGAGCAGAAAGCAGTGGATTCTTAACAACACGAACCCATTTAACAGAATGTCGGAACGTAAATTAAATTTGGCGCGGTTGGAAAATGCATCTTTCTACCTTGCGACTTTAATGGTACGATCCAGTAAATTAAAACAGTAAAAATGCTCTTATTTTAAAATTACTCATTAAATAAACCCAAAACATCAGTGATATCAGAAAAAATATGGTATATCTTACTAATAATTAAAAAAGATGTATAAACATTGTGAAAAGTGTCGCATCTTACGATAAAAGACACCGATTTAGCGAAGATGACGTCAATAGTGCGCTTAAAAGGTCAATTCAGACGCTGATAAGTTATTGGTCCAGCATTTTTGTTTTCTTTATTCCGACAAAATTATACAATCAATCAAAACAAGTTTAATACCAGAAGAAAGCTAACGATTAGTATTTTTATTAACTGCTTGCCCAAAAGTCGCTTGACCACAGTGAAACGAGTGAGAGCTTGCGAGAGCGGCCAAAGTGTGATTGAAACTCGCTATTTGCTCTTCTTCAACGCAAAAAGAGACGACATTGTGATGGATAAATGTATTTTTTCCGACAAAAGTACAGAAAATTTGCATATGGTCTTTCAATATTATACTTTATGAAATGTTACCCGAGTGACTTCCGGGCGCCCCAATGCTGGAAAGAAACGCACATTTTAGAAAACTTCACTTTTTCATGGAAAAATGCTTATTTGTTCTATGCACGCAAGTCAGATTGAGCGGATGATACAACGTTTCCATATGGTATGGAAAAACAAATTTGAAGAAGTATTGGTATTGTTCTAATATTGAATAAAAAATAAAAACTATGGAAAAGCAAAAAGAAGAATGTGTGGGTGGATGCATGTGTAGTTTATACGATAAATTCGTTATGTGTGCTGTTCCAAACGCACCAAGTCAACACTTAGCGAATCCAGACGTCCTTTTGACATTATTTTCAAAATTGAAATTCTCGCTAGATTCCTAACCATATCTTTAAAGCGCTTAGAGACATTTGTATTAAAGGTAAAGACCAGTTATGGTCATGCGATTGAATTGTGAAAGAAACGTTGTGGAATTGATCAGAAAAGGTTGATCATCTAGCATCTAGCATCTGCAAGGTTCTGGAATCATCAAAATGATAAGAAATTTGGCCCATTCTTCGTAAAGTTACAAGCACTATACACAGAAAGATGTATATGGGACTACCCTATATCTCTCACAGGACCATGAGAGAAACAAATTTACCAAATATATGAATTAGTAGGCGGTTTCCCGGCAAATTTTTTATCATCATGTATTAGTCAAAACACATTCTTTCACATGATTGGTAATGAGAGCTTCCATTTCATTTTTTGAAATTGGGGCGTTACCAATACTGGTCTTTACCTTTAAGCGCTATATAAGCGGAATATTGTTATTATTATTGTTATTATTGATTTGTATTATTATTATTTTAGTATGCCAGTGAAATCGTGGGCTATTTCTTTTTCTGACTCGTAGCAGTACGGTAAATCTACT